TGTAAATCAACTAGGGTCCATGCAGGTAGCAAAAGTAATGTAAGTCCCCATGGTTCCTAGTATGGTGATCTACCTTCAGTTGTTGGCGATCTATAGCCCATATTTACATTGTATTGTCTTCTTTAATTGTAATATTTTAGCTTTATTCGCTAGTTTTATATTGATATCTGTGATTATCTAGTATTTTACAGTCCTTCGTCGGCAGGTTTTATAATAACTATATATATATTCTATTACAATGTCAACTGTTCTCGTCACGATATGGCTGAAATATTGCCGATGTGACGTTAAATAATAACTCACTCACTCACTCCTCATCACGGGATCAGACCACGACGTCCTGCCATACGGCCTATCCTGACACAACGTCATCGACAAGCTCGCCGACTGTGGTGCAGGAATCATGTCAGCAGACCCTTGTTTTGGTGGAGAAATGTTGTTTTACAGATGAGTCCCATAGTGATGGACGTCAACGTGCCTATAGACGCGTGGGAGAGCGTTATGTGCAGGCCTGTTTCTTGGAGAGAAATCGCTTAGGTGGTGGTTCCGTGATGATTTGGGGTGGAATAACAGAGCTCCTTTGGTGATTGTTCAGGGCAACGTAACTGGGTGTGGGCTACAGGGATCAGATTCTTCGACCTGTGGCAATTCCTTTTCTGCAACGTCATGGCCCTGGGTTAACAGGACGTTGCCCGCCCTCATACGGCAAGGGTTGCTATGGATTTCTTGCAGCACCACAACGTTGACTTACTGCCTTGGCCTGCAAATTCACCGGATCTCTCCCCGATAAAGCATGTTTGGGACGAGATGGATCGACGTCTACGCCGTCTTTTTCATCCGCCAGATAACGTCCTTGACCTTGCAACCGAACTTGAGAGAATCTGGCGTGACATCCCACAAGCCTTCCTTGCACGTTTGATAGACTCTATGCGTCGTCGATGCACTGCTGTTCTCAATGCCGATGGTGGACATACCTGTTATTGAGCTTGTGACATGGTCGTTTGACCCCTGTCCCGCTTGTGGACTCGTGACGTCATTGTCTCCCTGACTTGATTGATGATTTTCAATTGAAATTCTCCCTTGACTTGTTATGGCTTCATGATCCCTCCTTTAAAGTTTATATGTACTAGTATATATTGATGTATGTGATTTCTGCAGGTGTATAAGCAATACAAAATATTAGTCACGATATTTCTTTTTGTCAAATCTCCTTTATATCTGCACAAGATCTTTTGCCGTTCAACGGCTCTTCAGGTGTACAATGAAAGCTAAGTTCCGCCTATATATATACACGAGAGCGAGAGAGAAAACATACTAAGAGCATAACATATATAGCAATAAATTGCACCTTTCTCCATCCATTTGTCTAAAATAGTTTACATATTTTTGCACATAAAATGGCTGTCAAAGTGCAAGATACAAATATATACGTGTTCAACTCTGGAGCACACTTCAGCACATCTCTGCAGTAAAACTTGTCAAACATAATTGTAGAGACGACATGGGATCGACGGTCCGCTTACTGCAACGTTTTCCAGAGTAGAAAAGTGTGTGTTGGGCTATGTGTGATAGGAGTCTTAATAACTTCAGTTTCAATAAAAATGTGATCCCCACTTTGTCCTCTCTTCACCATCCTCATCTTTATAACTAGTGACACCATTTCCAGCAACATCACATATAACAACAGTGCTTGTAGCCACATCACATACAGCATCGTCTGTATCAACGTGCATAGGGGAAAAGGTTACTTCTTGCAACATCAATTTTTCAGAAACAAGTCCGACAGAAACGCCGCCAACCAACACACCAGGATCAATATTTTCCACAACTTCTGGCGATGGGTTTTCATTTTCACTTATGAATTTGGAACTCATAAACAATAAAATATGAAATAAGAAACAGTGTAGGGATTCCTAAAACAGCAATAAGATAACAATGGAAGGGCACCTCGCCTTCATCTGCTACATTCAGTGCTACAACCCACGCAGCTTCTGCACTTCGAGTTCGGCATATACCCTGTCTATAACTTTCATAGAGCGGAGGATCGCGTGGAAGATATTTGGTGTCCATTGGTCAGTGGAGACAATGGAAGGGCTGTTCGTTTAGAATCCCTGATTGTTCCAATGCAGGCTGGTATTCGGTAATTCAACATGTAATGACTTCGATATCATTTTCTTGCCAGGTACACCAGGCACGTCAACTGCACCCACAACGATGCTCACGACAAAACCTGAAACGTCGACTATGGGTAACATTTAGATTTTAAGCTTTTTGTGTTAATGCGGTGTAACTGTGATGATGATGCTTCTCCTATATGTGCTTCTTCGATTATACTGTACGTATGAATACAGTTTGTGAAGTAATATATACAAGTTACAATGCAACTTCACCGGTAACTTTACAATCGCCAGCGGTCTACGTCGCTGCTTGTCGTCAGGAGTTGGTGTGTGTCAGAAGAAGGATGGACATTATGTCGTCATGAACACACAGAAGAAGAAGGACCATCATATTCACGCAGAGGAGAGAGAGAGAGAGAGAGAGAGAGAGAGAGAGAGAGAGAGAGCAGAGAGAGAGAGAGAGAGAGAGGAGGAGAGAGGAGAGAGAGAGAGAGAGAGAGAGAGAGGCATATATACCCCGGCACATATATCGATAGGATACCATATGTCTTAATGAACACACTCATGTATGTAAGGACGCACGAGACACACGCAGAGAGAGAGAGAGAGAGAGAGAGAGAGAGAGTTGAGAGAGAGAGAGAGAGAGAGAGAGAGAGAGAGAGAGAGAGAGAGAGAGAGAGAGAGAGAGAGAGAGAGAGAGAGAGAGAGAGAGAGAGAGAGAGAGTTGCTCGAGAGATTTGAGAGAGAGAGAGAGATCCTGCCTGCCCACCCCGGCATAGACACACATGTCGAGTAGACACCAATGTCTTAATGAGCGTCAGGGACTAAGGTGGTCATATCACCATGTAAATAAATCTACATAAAAACATGTTGAAACTGTTTCCATAGCAATTTCACGCGGTCTGAATGAAACCACTGTCAGGATATATATCTATTTGGAATGACAAATAACACGCCATAAACGTCTCCAGTATTGTCAGCACCGTGCTCCTGCGTTAAACCAACTTGGCATCATTGGGGTCTTTCCTCACTCACTTGTCCTTTTTGTATTTCCTGATACAATCGGTTTATCTCTTCCTTCGGGGTGTCAATTTTCATCCCTAAAACAAGATGATAAATTATAACACATGAAATACAAATTCTTGCTATCTTGGCTTTCAATCCAGAAATGTTCACCAACTCGTCGAGAGAGAGACGGAGCAAGAGGGAGAGAGAAAGAAAGAGAGAAAGAAAAAAGAGAGAAATAGAGAAAAGAAAGTGAGAAGGAGAGAAAGAGAGAGACAAAGAGAGAAAGAAAGAGAGGACGCGGACACACTCACACATACACACATATATCATCTTGATTTTCACTTGATTGTAATATTGTCTTCACATCTAGTAAGATAATAATACCTGTACATCACTATGAACATTCACAGCCAGTGAAAGGGACATGGCGACTGATCACCTGGCACCAGCCCCCGTCTACAGCAACGTGTGAGTGCATCTTATGTAAATGTAGAAAATAAATAGTACTCAGGGTTGAATGATGTCCAAGTGTGCTCGCAGGATATGGTGTAACTCAATAATAAAACACCTGACGATATTGCTTTATCATATAAGTTATCATGTGTGTTCAAATACATAATAGTAAGAGTTTTTCATTTTAACAATTTGCATATTTGGGATGTATGAAAGTGATAAGAAATATGTTCTTTCGTGTTCTTTCCAAAGTTGAAATGAATGGTAATCCACGTGACAATCCGTACATGAACTAGACGTAAAGCCCTGAAACAATAACACAGAAATGTGCTGTAATTAACATGTTTATTACGATATTTTTTACATTCACAGGTAATATGATACCGACCAGCATTATGTCACTTAATAAAGTGACGGCGGATAATTGAAGAATGATATTCCAGATCATTCTACTTTGTTCTCGCCACTGTAAGATGTGTATAAAATTGTTGAATGCTGTTGAGAGAACACCCTGAATACTACTGTTGAGAGAATACTCGTTGAGATAAAACTGTTGAATACTGTTGGGAGAATACTGTTGAGATAACACTGTTGCATACCGCTGATATAACGCTGATGGATACTGTTGAGAAAATACTGTTGAGATAACACTGTTGAGATAACACTGTTGAATACCGTTGGATATAACACTGATGAATACTGCGTTGAGATAACACTGTTAAGATAACACTGTTGAATACCGTTGATATAACACTGATGAATACTGTTGAGAGAATACTGTTGAGATAACACTGTTGAGATAACACTGTTGAATACCGTTGGTATAACACTGATGAATATTGTTGAGAGAATACTGTTGAGATAACACTGTTGAATACCTTTGGTATAACACTGATGAATACTGTGGAGAGAATTCTGTTGAGAGAATACTGTTGAGATAACACTGTTGAATACCGTTGGATATAACACTGATGAATAGTGTTGAGAGAATACTGTTGAGATAGCACTGTTGAATACCGTTGATATAACACTGATAAATACTGTTGAGAGAATACTGTTGAGATAACACTGTTGAATACCATTGATATAACACTGATGAATACTGAGAGAATACTGTTGAATAAGATTGAGATAACACTGTTAAGATAACACTGTTGAATATCTCTTTTAAGAGAAGTGTAATAATGACATTGAATACCGAACTGAGAGAATACTCGGTGTTGAAATAAGATTGAGATTATATAAACAGTTTACACTGTTAACATACTCGCGTTTGATAACATTATGAAAATAGAATACTTTTAAGCATCACCAGATATTCAGTGACAGCCCAGAGTGTAATCCATAACTCACTCAGTTTTGGAAGATGTATACATAACTAAGATAGGTTGCATGTATATTTCAGTTGAATTTGGGCGTTTCGGAGATACAAGGTATCAGAAATGAAACAGTACTTGGTGAGTTTGTAATTTAGCGGAGGATTATGTTTATTTTCTTTTAACAAAACCAGTGAAATAAAGATTATGTTTATTTTCTTTTACAAGTAAATAATAAAAACAAGCACCAGGAAGAACGAAACAAAATTCCTAACTTCACCTTGAATATTCCAGAGGAAAATGACTTATACGAGGGTTCGGTAGACATCACACCCAGTCGGCAACTTACGGAGATTGATCACGCCGTCACAGGTTCGTTATACTTGGTTATCTACGGGTTATTAAGTTTATGTAATAACAATAGTTACTGATGCAAATGAAGCACTAAGAGGCACTAATTGCACAGTGAAATGACAAGCTGAAGTAGGGACTTGCTTTACGAATATCCAGATTTCACACCGAGTCTTAGCGCTAGGGCTTTCAGCAACATATCCTGGTTCTTGAATTATTTCACGTGTAGCATCAGCATCGTTGACACTCCAAGGATACTACTCATGTAAGTTGAAAAACTACATGAAAAGTCAAGTTCCTCAAATATGATATATTTGTATTCGGTATGTGAGCTTTTTCATCAGTTCCAAATGTGTTAAAACATTGTAATATAAATGAAACATTGTTTGCATTGATGATCCAAAGCTCCTTGTGTGCGACACTGGAAAGCAGCACCAGTCTGTTGTCATAGTAACATCTTACATGTTCCAGATGTCTACGCTGAAGTTCGGAAACCAAAGAAAGCTACGACGGCCCAGGCAGATAAAGCTGAATATGTCAACATGAAAGAGCTGTAGGCAAAAGGCCGGCAGGCTAATATAGAAAACATGTCATTACCGACTGGTCAAAATACCCGTCATTGTTCTATGGATCCTGATGAGTACAGCTTGACGACATGGTTAACATTTTTGGATTGAAAGCCAAGATAGCAAGAATTTGTATTTCGCATCTCTCTCTCTCTCTCACTACATGAACAACACTTGGAATACCATCCACGCAGCTTCTGGGTTCCATTAAAGTCCTTTTCACAGTTCATTCTAAACTATCACATTTAGCTTTACCAAGCCGCATTAGCACTTTAAATAATTATACTCTACCAGTTGGGCCTCTTATTGCGTATCTGGTACAATCGTTTTACCCACGAAGATGTCCAATAGCATCACATGCCTCAGTAATGCTTTCAAACGTTTTATGCAAGATATATGTGGGACATTAACACAAAGACACCTCTGGGACCAAAGGGGACAATGTGGCTGATGTTGTTTCGTTGTCCTGTGTTTCTTCGTATTACTTTTGTTTGTATAACAGGATACAGTCACCGTTTCGTGTGATCATCTCTTCTTGACAAAGATTCCTACAAGGACATTTAAGATGCTTATATTCAAGTAGGCATATCTGACCCTCAGGCAGATACATGGCACCATGCATGTAAAACACTATTACTGAAGGACAAGGGTTTGTAGTGTGATACCACTGACCCGTATGATAGAGGACACTATGTGGACAACTGCAAAATGGTCATGCTTCATTATTCTGGTGAATGTGCCTCAGAAAGTTGATACTACCATTTCCACAATAATGATCTTAACACGATATGAGAATACGATGTATATCTGCGATACCAGACGTTCCGTTCTGTTGATACATCTTTATCCAGCTGCTCTAATTAAAACTTGTTGATCAAGGTGTTGTTTATTTCGCTGATGGCAGATACTTTTTACACTTTGTGTTATATACTACTTTGACAATTAAACCTGTTCGCAACAGGTGACGACACACGTTTTCGTGAAATTGCTATCAAAATCTTAATAAATGAATGGAGCGACGATGGTTCGATGGAACTTGGCAAGCTCAGGTTGGTTAGGTTCATTATCAGCTAAGGGGATCGTGCACTTTCTACATGCAGTCTATACGAATTGGACTGTTCCGAGGAAGGAATGCCTAGTCAAACCCTCCAAGATTATCCGGCCAGGGCCCATGAACCTTCTACATGGTATCCACACAACGTTTTTGGACAGGAATTGTTGAGGCTGCATATGAGTCTATTCAAATTAGTTTTCCATGACTCTATATGACATGTCCGGGGTCGACCTGGGGTCAAAGACACAGTCGTGAAGACAATGAGTTTGTCTTGAATTGGAGACATTCTGCAGCTTGTCCCTAGACATGCACTCCAAACAGACAATAACACCCTCGCGTTGTACCTTGGCGGATCCATCATTCAGTACCTTGCCACGTTTCATATGAATAGTGTTGCATATGGCGAGTCAGATGTCACCTCATACCATTAGAAACGGTCTCGACAAGGAGAATTTGTTCTTTCGATTTGACGTCTCCTTTGGCAAGGCGTTCGATGTCATCCATTTACAGGTGATGAGTAAGCGATGTTTCGGATCTGTGCTGTGGAGGTCCGGGATGGTAACCCTCTTCTTTATTTGGAAGTAAACTCGAATGAATTCTGACAAACAAACATGCGAATGACTAAATAGTCCCCATGAAATATTCCCCTTCTGATTGGAACAGATCCCGAGTACACATCAAGCTCCACCAGCAACACATTAAAAAATTGAGCAAATGCTCAGGCAGGTCAATACAATGGATAATCTTCCAAATCCATTCACGAGTGAAAGTCATGTTTATAGTGGTTTAGGTGGTATGTTTAAAATTATGCTTTGTACAAGAAATTGATTTGTGCATCCCCAACACCTCATGATTCAAACTTGTTGTAGGGCGGTTGGTTTTAATGTCAGTCATACCTCCTGTCTTAGGAAGGAGTGTCTGTGTGACCTCTGTGGAAGCATGTAGCAGCATCCCTGTATCCAGGAGTGAATTGAAACCATGAAGTAGTTTTGTTTTACTCAAGGGCACAGTTTTCAGTTAAACCATGATGCTGCGTTATTGTTATATCATTTCCCAGGAAGTCTGGTGTGATATAACACAACAACTGGACAGTTATTTAGCTACGAATTGTATGATCGTAATCAATGATCCACGGTTCCTATAGGTTACAGTCGCCGTATACATATCTTACCTCTTTCCTCAGAACTTTTCATCCGAATCCATTACTTTTCGTTATTTTGCAAGAATTGTTTCTGTTTGATAAGATCATTATTTGTTCCCAATGGTTTATGAAATTTTGACCTGAGGATTGTTCCATCTGGAGAAATATAATTTGGGTTCCTTGACTTGTATTTGAGATATATTTTTCTCCCACACTCTCCCCTGCATTCCTCAGACTGTATTCCATGCTTATCTTATTTTAATGTCAAGCTCAATCCAGGAAACGTATTTTCTTGCTTCAGTTAGTTTTACTTGACATGGGTTTTATTTGGTGTTTTGTTCTTATCTGTACATGCTATTTGTCTGGAAACTGTTAGATGTTCCTACAGGGTTCCACCGGCAGCAGGCACACAGCACTTAGTTTCATGCAATGACCAGTCAACGTATATTTTTTATTATCTTTGTCTTCAGATAATAGCCGTAGGCAGTTCAGAAAGCTTGTTCCCTGGTCCTTTCATTCCGTCATACTGTATACGTTTATACTTCTTGCTACCCAGGCCAAATGGCTAAAAGAAGACAGAGTCAGTATGAACTATTGTAGTAGTAATGTCTATGGACAGATTACTTCACGCGGACACGTCTTAAACACGATATAGAACATCATTTCATTTCATCACTGACAGTGGTCCGCATCTGTCCCGTTAATGAGCTGTGGGTGATAATGGCAGACGTGCAGTATCAGTACACAGACCATTTCATCTGTTATCACCTGAAACTGTATCCGGACTAGAAAAACAAATTGGTTTCTTTAAAGTCTGATAAAGTTGGCATATAAACTCTGCCATGTGTTATTCTATTATTGATGTTACAAGAAAATAAAAGTTTCGTAAAGTTTCTTTGCCGAAAATATATTTTGTATGTGGCAATTTGTACTCCTCTATATGTTTTTCATATTTCTTTTGCCCGAAAAATATTTGAAAATATTTATGTTATCCTCAGGAATAACCTGTGTTGCAAGTAATATATTTCCAAATGCCCATTTAATGATAATTGATTCTCTTTGCCTGTGCATTAGAATGTTGAACTCTTATTATTCTGTTTATTACTCTCTAATATAAATTGATAGACACTGCCTACTAACAGTGTTTTGACTTTCAACCAACATCTAATACCATTGAGACAGAGGTATAAGCATTGTGACGTCAAACTGTAAAACGTTATGACGTCATGCGTCTAGCGGTATTGCACAAGTGTATTATTGACGTATACATATTACACTGCAGTATCTTCCACGGGAGAGTAATACATATGTGTATATTGTTGGCGAGATAGCAGGTAGATTATTACGTGAACATATATGTTTTTGACAATCCCAATTCCTATCGCTAGCCTTAAAAAGAAGAGAAGGGTTTAATATGTGAATGTGTGTACTTTGTGTACTATTACATTCGGTGTATGCACACAAACGTCAAAATCCATCTTGAGAGACACAGTTTTATAACATACACAGTTATGGGTTGATTAGCATAAAAACATGTTAGCAGTTTATATTGCCTTATTACTATCTGTTTTCGTTCTTCTTCACAATGCTATTTAAAATGATAAGACCAATAAACAAAAAATAATCGCTTTTAATCTGGGAAGTTAGTGCTATGAGAATAAACTTAAGGATACATTGTTAAGCTGCTAACTTCTCGACATGTAAAAGCAAAGCTGACAACACAACACGCCATAATCGTATGTTTGTAATTAGTTTTGGCAATCGACCTCCTGCACATATAGTATCGAACAATTAATCATTTACTTTAACCTAAAATGTTCATCAAATTCGTAATGGGGACGTTTAAATTAACTTTGGCCATAATTAATCAATCATTGAACTATTGATATTGTAAATGTTCAAATAATTCCATTAACGTGTTATTCAGGTGTTAAGATGGTTCCTTAAGATTTTCCCTGTGTTTTTCCTCCTTGTTTCAGTTACAACACTGCAATAAAAGTGGGGAATATCACCAAAATATGTTTCCTAACATATATTTATATATGAATTGTATAAATACATAATTTAGGTATGATATGAATTGCTCCAATATGCGTTATGTGGCAGTAATTCGCTAAATTCGCCACAATTATAATAGAAATATTGACTCGTCTTTGTTGTGTATCTACGGGTTATCGTACCCATAACAATAAGGGTACCAATGTTCCAACAAGGTTTGTGATGTGTCGTTTGATTCTACAAGGTTTACTAACACAGCAGCTAAATGAAGGTTTTATTGTATTATAGCTTCTGTTATGTAGACACTGTTCGTCAGTATACAGTATAGCTGGCACCAGTCACGAGGAACTTCTGTTTTGGGATATTATATACGTATCATGATATGAAGTTTATATTTATTAATATTAGGCTTTTGAACAAACAGAGACGGGTTTTTACCATTCTACCTTTCTATTTTGTTCAAATATTCAAAATTAAGAACAGAATCACACATCCCTCCGCCACAATGAAATTTTAAATTCTAATGGCCTGAAAAAGCAACCGTGAATCTATCAGTTAAGTGTAGTCATCAACTTTCTTTTATCAAACATTTATGAGCCCCAAGAGGTCCAGCTGTTCATGTAGCAAAGTACATTTTTTAACCTGAACAGGGAAACTGAACAAGTCATTAGTGTCTGATAGCAGGCTTTCTTTACCGTGAATTTCAAACCTAAATTACTTCCATGACGATCGTATTCCAGTACTGCGCTTCTCGATGTCTTTAAAACAATACTTCTATTGCAACACATATGTTATTACGTATAATTGTGTATTCAAATAGACATAAAGACAACATATACACTCTAACTTACCACTACCCAAGATGACACACATTGGTTTCATACACGTTTACAATTAAAGGCCATTTTATTTACAAGTAACAACAACTTGTCGTCAACTGAGTTATGACAATATGTACCAATGATGATATCCTTCCAAAAATAGTGATTTTGACACAAACTAACATGTTTAATATAATAAAGATGGTAAGAGTACCATGAACACAGCCCTTCTGACACATGCCATCTCTATTATTTGTGAAAGTCTACTCCTTGCCATGTCCAGTTTCGATTCCCCACATGTACATACAATGTGTTAAGCCCACCCCAGGTGTCCCCTCGGTAATATTGCTGGAATATTGCTAAAATTGGCGCAAAACCATACTCACTCAGCCATCTTGCCCTGTCAAGAAAGGATATTTTCAGAACGGTCGTCTTTTAAATCAGTTCAGAAAATTGCAGTGTGCATACTGCGGTTATGAAACCTTCACCCTAATACTGGTCAGGCCTTCATAACACTTGAACACGCCACCAAGGTGAAATTGGATTTAATACTTAGGAATATTTCGAATAGGAATATGTTCATATGACGAAGTGCATATATGTGTATGTGTGGCTGCTTGTACTTGCCCAGACACTGGTTTTAATAGTGCTGGCTCACTGAGATACCATGCCGCAGTTAAGCATGAATGAGTGAGTGAGTTGAGTTTTACTCAGCAATATTCCAGCTATATGGCGGCGTTAACATGATACCCCATACTGACACATTATACTGACTCCGAGCCGACCAGTCCTTGTTGCACTCATAATACCGAGCGCCAGACAGGGACCAACAATTACCAACTTTTAACGTCTTTTAGGTATGACGCGGCCAGGGATCGAACTGTTGACCACTACACCGCGGAGGCGCCCACAAAGCTTTAACGATATTGTGTGTGTGAATCAAGTATTTTACAT